ACTCAATTTATTTACCCTCATGCATACACACACTTATGCCAATATATTTACACACTCAAACATACCCATACATCCACAAACACCCATTTACCCAATTATACACACAAACGCCTACACACACAAACACAACTACCCCTACATCTATAATACACATACAAACACAAACATACATGGGCGCCCACAGAGACATACCTATTCCTGCACAAACATACAAACACACACACACACACTTATTTTTACAACACTCATATATACAACACTCAAATATACACAATCACACGTACAAACTTATACAAATATATATGCCCGGTTTGCTAGCACAGTTGGCTAAACCTGACTGGGCGGCGACCTGGTGATAAACTCCTTGTGGTCAGGGGTAGGCAGAAAAGCTAGATTTACGATATCTATCTTGGAATCAAGGCCGAATGATTGTGATATTCATAGTACCAAGCCAAAGGGTTAACAACTCATGGTTTATGAATACTTAAAACAAATACATTTACATCGCACATATACTTATTTTTACTTATCACACAAACTTATCTGATTATAAAATGATAACGCATTATAGATTAACCATAACTAAACACATCAGATTTCAACATGTCCTTAATTAGTCATATTTTACCAATTTCTTATTAAAGGGTAGCTAACTATTACCCCCCCCCCCCCCCCCGAACCACCACCGCTAAACGGGACCCCGCAATTTTCACGGGACACGTTGGAAATAAATGTTTTAAAATTACCCTCGTTAGGAATGTAAACTGAACAACGTTTTTCATTTCAAAAATTGATAAATTCTGCTCTGTCTTTTCTTTTCTGATAGTGTTCGTTGTGGCAGGTGTCAACAAACTCCCCATGCCTCCAACTGTTTATGTATTTAACTATATTCTAGATTTATACTGTTTACAAGTAGGCAATGATGGTGCTAGTTGCTCTGCACGTGTTCTTTCATCTTCAATTCTATTTTGCTAATGGGTGTCGTAACCAATTAAGCTTGAAGGTTCTGGTAATCCATGAACAACGAACGACTCTTGGGGGATGTGATTATGTGCTTGGCAGCTAGAGCTGTTTTGATATGATCGATCATCACCATCAAGTGCCTTGCCGGCTGGCGTAGTAGATCAAACGTCTCCACAATCTGCGGTCTGCAACTGTGTGTGTCAGTTTGTGTGTTGACACCCCTCCACGCCATGACAAAAGGCTGTCAAGAATCTTCTCACTCTATCTTCCACTGTCTCTCTTTCCACACATCTTTCTAGTGGTCACAACATGTTCCATTTTCCCCCCTTTTCATGACATGGCCAACAACTTATGAATGTCTCTTTCTGATGTTTGTGATAAGTTGTCTTCGAGCATTCGTCTCTTTCAAAATACCTGGGTTGCTCTTCTTAGCAGCATTCCAAGGAATGATCGACCCTACACTGTCCATTTTTTTTTCTAAAGCCAGCAAAACAATTTGTGACTGAAGATGATGTTAGGGATCGATAAAGAATGCGCCCCATAATACCGTTTTCAGGTCAGATAACATTCTCCGCAGTACTGTGTTTTCAGGTCACGTTAGAACTGAGTTCATTCTATTGATGGCAGAGCTCGTCTTCTAAACTGTCTGGTTACTGTAGCATAAACATAGACACATTCTTCAGAATATCAGCCAATATTTATTAGATGTGCACTGACTTTGATGTAGTCTGCACTTTTAGATATTCCGTCTCTATAATAGTGTATGCATCTCAAATTTAGGGCGGATAGGGGAGGGTAAATCTTATTTGTCTCTTCTTTTCTGTAATCCCTCGTCCGTCTGTCAACGTCAGGTTTTCATGGGATTTTTGGCGCGAGTCTTATATTAAGTTTGTTATTAGATTCTAGTATTGGCTGCCTAAGATTTCTATCTATCTATCGCTTGTGTGGGCGACCTCTACTCTGTGTTCTGTTGTGTTTGAGTGATATTGTTCTTTTTGGGAGGTACGGGGCAATATGTGGTTAAGACTAATTATTCTTGGAGTGATATATTTTTATGTTTAAACTATAGGAAAGTGTCTAGTTTTTCAAAGCTGTCTTTTTTCCCCCCTGGTAAATCTCTCTACTGTTAATAATACATTTATACAGAAACAATTACAGAAATGTAAGTATCCAGTCACATTAATAAACATCTGATGATAGATGCCTTACAGAGATAAAGAACAGAAAAGGACAAACCAAAACGACCTCCAACAAAAGGAAGAACATTTTGTGAAACAAGTCCATGTCACTGTAGTTTGGAAAAAGAATTCGGGAATGCTATATGGAGCCAGTTTTAACATATGGCTGTGAATCCCAGACAAGCAATAAACAAGCTGAACAATATCTTGATGCCTCGGAGATGTGGTTTTTACAGAAGAAACTTTCGAATTCCTTAGAAAACTTAGAAATACACAAAGATGTCTTGAAAGAGGCAAGTGCTCAAGGACAACTTATCACAAACATCTGAAAGAGACAGTCATCATTTTTTGGTCATGTT